TGGTGAGGAGAAAACTAATTGACTAGAAATAAACTTTCTTTTGAATAAAAAAAAAAAGTTATATTAAATAAAATAATTATGATGCTAATTTCAATAATTCAATACTTTAATAATTTCAATACTTCATTTATAAAAGGATAAGAGGATAATAATTATATTAAGATAAAATTCATAGATATTACAGGCTTTTTATTGTGTAGGACAGCACGCAGCTACACGAATTATATTACATATGTATAAATTCGTAATCGACAGCTTTACAGTTACAGAAAACTCTTATCGCACATAGAATCATCTTTCAATCTTGAGGGAAGGGAAAGGGTGACATATTTTCTTCTTTTTTATCCAAACTGCGATATAACGGATAATACACTCGGTGTAATATGATATGAAAACGCGCGCGCGCGCGTCTTGAATCGTTTTCATTTCTGACACATACGCTTTTAAATTTGCTCTTTGTGCGTATTTCGCCGAATGATACAAAAAACTCATGATAATAATAATAATAATAATAATAATAATAATAATAATAATAATAATAATAATAATAATANGTCCTCGCATGACAATCGAAAAAGGAAATTCCAATTTGTTGATTGAATATATCTATTATATAAAAAAAAAAATGTTATATTTGTATGAAAAACGGTGAGAGATAGTTGGGTAAGGCATATGAGAAGAACCACAATAACGATGATGAAAATAAAAAACATCGATTGATCGGTATACCGATATATAAATGGTAATAAATGTCAACACGACGACAATGAAGCGGTGGCATCAACGAGAACGTCTATTCATTCAATCCTTAGAATAATAATCAATATGTATCTATAATATCTAGAATATCTAGAATATGGTTCATCTATAAAAAAGTTACCATTCATCGTATATTTTGTAGGTTTACGTTCAATGGAACGGAATTTTTATTTTTCTTCATTTTATTTATTTAATTTTTTTTTTCATTTTTATTTTTGTAATTTTTTGATAATGTACGAAACGGAAAAAGCGAATATTGAACGTGGAGAACGACGTTTCGCCTTTGTCACTTTTCATCGAAGTCGAACACGATTATGGCTATTATGATTTTATCGTAAATAGAGTATTCTAATAAAAAGATTCTAAAAGTTACGCATGTTACGTGACTTTTTTATGTTTTGCTCGACACGCGCGATAATAATTAGCAAATTTTTTCATTTAAAACTTTGTATTTTATAAAATTTCTGTTCATTTTCTCTCTCTCACTCTTTCTTTCTTTCATACATATTCAAATACACTTATACATAACCTTTCATAATCTTTTTTTATTCTCTCATTTTCTATCTCTTTCATACTCAATCGTTTTTTTTTAAAATCGCCTCTCTTTTTAATTCAACAATTATCATCATCATTATCATCATCATTACCTCATCATTTCTTTTTTGGATTGGCAGGCGAGTTAAAGCTGCCGCTCGCTGGACTAGAGATTTCACTACTGCTTTATTGCGCATCCGTTGTCCGATACGACAATATTCTTCTTTCACTCTTTATGTTTCTATCTCTTTCTTTTCTTTCTTTCTGTTGCTTTGCTCTCGCATCTTCGGGAACGGCTAAGAACCGCAATCCCAATTTTTGTGATTTCTTTCTCTTCTCTCTCTATCTTTCCATACTATCATTATCTCTTACTTTCTCTTTCCAGCGAATGTTTATTTTTTGTTTTCTTTTCTTTTTTAAATATATTCTTATATGAACAGTTCTTTTCCACTCGAACAAATTTGCACTTATGAACAATTTGTTTATCAGGAAAAGAAATGTTTGACGCAAATCATTTCTTTTTCGCCGGTACATATAATTGTGAAAATCGTTGAACGAGCAAGCACAGTTTGTCTAATTGAACACATAGAAGATTGATGTAATAGGCAGTAAAGATTTTTTTATTATATGATGCGTTTGTTTTATTTATAAAATTATGAACAAAAAATTGGAAATTAATTTTATTACAAATGGCAATGCTATCTGATTTCTTATTTATAATTTAAAAAAATAATAAAATTTGCATTTCAATTCTAGAATAGTAAACTGGCAGTTGTGTTTTGAAACTATGTAAAATTTATTTTTATATTTTATATAAGAATATTTAAGTACTTAAATTCATGTAAATATGTAATATTTTTATATCTTAAAATATTATATAATTACATAAATATGTAATTCGCAACAACTTAATATATTATTATTTATTTCTTGAATAGAATCATAATAATAATGTTTGATTATTGTCAATTCATTTTTAGGCATAAAGTATAATACATCATTTTTTGTAATTTCATGTAATATTATAGAAAAAATGTTATGTAAAAAATTTAAATGCTATAAATAATTTATTTTCTAATTCATTTTCTATTCAATATAATTTTTAATTTCCATCAATCTCATCTTATTCAAATCGCATCAGAATAACAGAATAGAAATAATCTACTCGCAACATCGATTTCTTAAAGCAAAAACGAAATCAAATCAAATCAAAATATACACACTGCGTTGCTCGTTTCTTTATCCTCACAAATTTTTCAAACATTTCTATAATTGTGCGCTAGGCTCAACAGAGCAGAAGCATAGAGCATCGATCACCAGAACGATCGAGAGACGAACTTCTGGCCAGGACGATCTCTGTCGATCGATAGGAGAAAACTCAGACGAACAACGCGAATCAAACGACGCGAGATGCCGACTGTCGGTAAAATGTCTATAAGGCACGGCCTCGAGGATGTTCGTCTCTCATCGTCGTTAAGATTTTTTTTCTTTTCTTTTTTTTTTTTTTTT